ATCCTAAAAATTTCACACTAAGTTTTATTTGACGTCCACTTCTTCGAGATCCGATGTCCATAGTTATTGTTGATAATTGCATTTTACTATTTATTTATGTTGACTATTTATTTAGTGCTCAAGGCGTCAAGGCATATTTTGGTATTTTTGTCGGTTTATACTGTACTCAGTGCTAATAGATAATTTTACTTTCCAATTTGTTTTCGTGTCCTTAGATTTAGCTACATATAATAATTAATATGGACGTCCGAATATCCTAAAACAATCATACTGAAAAATATTTGACGTCCATATTTTTTAATTTGTTATATTTCTATATGTGGACGTCAGATTATCGGCAAAGTTTCATACCGCACGATATTTGACGTCCATATAACCATTAATATATTTATATTTTAATTTCTTGTGTATAAGACACACATTAATGATCATTACTTTAATGACATTTTTCGCTATTTTTTTATTTTTATTTTAGTGAAGGGAGCCCATGCGGTATGAATTAGTCACTTTGGTATTTCATAAAATGCTCTATTCTAGATACGATAAAACGCTTAGAAAACCTTTCTTATTTCTTTTTGGATAAATGTTGCCGTTTGTAGCGGTTTTTGAGGCACTGTGTGCGCCAAAATTTCAACTTTAAATTACTACCTGTGTACACATAATAATATGGACGTCCGAAAATCCTAAAACATTCATACTGAATGATATTTGATGTACATATTTTTGAATTTAGTTATATTTCTATATGTGGACGTCAGATTATCGGTAAAGTTTAATACCGCACGATATTTCACGTCCATATAACCATGAATATATTTATATTTTAATTCCTTGTGTATAAGACACACATTAATGACCATTGCTTTAATGATATTTTTCGCTATTGTTTTATTCGTTTTTTAGTGTAGGGAGGCCATGCGGTGTAAAATAGTCACTTTGGTGTTTTATAAAATGTTTCGTTCTAGAAATGATAAAACGCTTAGAAGCTTAGAAAACGTGTGTGAAAAATTAAATTGTATTTCAACTAACTGCAAAACCAAACATAATATCATAATTTAACAAAAATAGCCTTTCACAAAAATGAATCTAGTTAAGTAGAGAGTAATTTCGTACAGATTAGGTACAATAGTCGCACTCATCCTTACGATGCAGTGAGAGCACCAAAACTCAACACGATCAAGTAAAATAAATTATATTTTCGGAGTTATGTCAGCAACAATATGCCACGGTCTATTGTAGAAATTAACAACCTATTGGCAGTTAATGCAGTAAAACCTTATATTAAAATGAGTTTCTTCGCCAGACCATATTAGGTTATTAGTCACAATATAATAAAACAAACTTCTATGAAACCTGTCAATATCTACAATTGAGTCCATCTTCCTGTACTCAATCAGAAGGTGGTAACTTATACTCAAACAGAATTATGGGTTACTTACGAAATACCTAACAAGAGTTCTTTTAGGCAGATTAGTACCAAATTTAAAATGTTAAAATATAGTGCAGCATGAAATAAACCGATAAGCCGACGTCCGCATCTACATATATAAAAATATTACTAAATTCAAAAATACGGATGTCAAATATCATTCAGTATGAAAGTTTTAGGATATTAGAACGTCCATATTATGTGTAGGTAAATGTAAGGTTAAGAAAGGATCACCAGCTGATTAGTGACTGCCAATACGGTTTTCGCGGTGGTCGGTCAGCTGGTGATCTTCTGGTCTACCTAACTCACAGATGGGCGGAGGCAGTAGACTCCAAGGGGGAGGCATTGGCCGTTAGTTTGGACATTGCGAAGGCCTTCGATCGGGTTTGGCACAAAGCGCTTCTTTCGAAGCTCCCATCCTATGGGCTTCCCGAGAAATTGTGCGATTGGATCACCAGCTTTCTTGCAGATCGGGGCATCAAGGTCGTTGTAGACGTTGCAAGCTCCGATTGCAAGCCTATTAATGCTGGTGTTCCACAAGGCTGCGTGCTATCGCCAACGCAGTTTCTTCAGCATATCAATGATATGTTTCAAACCCGTAACATACATTGCTATGCAGGTGACAGCACTGGTGATGCTCTTTACACCGGCCGAGCCTATATTTCTCGGGATAATGTCTCCGAGTGCTAGGAGAAACTTGTGTCTGAAGTCGAGTCTTTGCTGAACAGAGTCTCGGCTTGGGGGCGACTAAATCTAGTCTAGTTTAACCCCCAGAAGACACAAGTTTGCGCGTTAACCACTATAAAGAACCCCTTTGTCGTATCTCCTCAGTTTCAAGGCACTCCCCTTGTTGCCTCAGCCAGTATCGGAATCCTCAGCGTCGACATATCGAGTGACGTGCAGTTTCGTGGTCACTTGCAAGAGAAGGCCAAATTGGCCTCTAAAAAGCTTGGCGTGCTCAGCAGAGCGGGACAGTATTTCATGCCGGCACACCGCCTGCAACTTTACAAGGCGCAGGTTCGGCCGCACATGGAATACTGTTCCCATCTCTGGGCTGGGGCTCCCCAGTACCAGCTCCTTCCACATGACCGCATCCAGCGCAGAGCGGCTCGAATCGTCGACGACCGAGTGCTTTCCGATCGCCTCGATTCACTGGCACTGCGAAGAGATGTTGTATCTCTTTGCATTTTCTTTCACATATACCATGGAGAGTCCTCTGAGGAATTGTTCGGATTAATCCCAGCCGCCAAATTTCTTGAATGCACTACGCGGCGAACGTCCCGATACCATCCACACCATCTGGATGCTTGGCGGTCCACCACTGTACGTTTCAAGAGGAGTTTTCTTCCGCGTACAACCTCTCTGTGGAATAGTTTACCACCAGCGATTTTTCCGGATCGATACGACCTGGGGACCTTCAAGAAAAGAGCGTACTCCTTTCTAAAGGGCCGGAAACGCACCTGCAATTCCCCTGGTGTTGCGGTTGATCATGGGCGGCGGTAGTCACTTAACATCAGGTGAGCCGCATGCTCGTTTGCCCCCTCTTCTATAAAAAAAGAAAACAAGTTTAAAAGTAAAATTACTAGTACCAAGCGCAATATAAACCATATAATAATGTCCTGCAGACCGAATTGCTGTCACGGCGGCCTGCCTCAACGGAGACTAGCCATCGGTGCAGGACAGAATTATAGTGCCCAAGTGTATGCGCAATCACAGGTGCACTCTCTATTCCCTCATTCTCATAATCCGATGGGACGGTAAACCGACATGACCGGAGAGAGATCAGGCGTAGGACCAACGGCTTTACGTGCTTTCCGAGGCAAGGGGGTGATACACCGTCAACTTCCTGACTCCGGGCAGCTATTGAGAATTTCTTGACAGAAAAACTCAATAATAGATTTTTTGGCCTGACCCGAGATTCGAACCCAGGACCTCACGATCAGACAGTCCGACTACTACAACCACTAGACCAACGAGGCAGTCATAACCATATATCACCAAATACAAATAACACGTTGGCAACGGTGACGGAACGGCAACGTCGCATCTCCTAATTTTGTGCGGAAGTCAAATACGGCCATAAATGAAAGTATTCACAAATCAACAGCAGCGCTATTATATTTGCAACGAAAATTAGCGTAACTACGTAAATATTCAGTACAGCAAGATTGGAAGAAAAATGACGTCCAATTTTTTTTAGATTTTGACATTTATGTGATCAGCATGACAATTTGCGAACATTGCGTTAAGTCTCCTATTTGACGTCCGTATATTGGACGTCGTAAGCGGGTTGACGTCACATTATATGCAAAATTTGCCATAGTGGACGTACAATAAGTTTCGGGATGTATATATATATATATATATATATATATATATATATATATATATATATATATATATATATATATATATATATATATATATATGCCTTTTAATGGGATAAGTTATTTATGTAGTATTAGTCGTTGTAAAAGAATATGCAGCACTAACAGTACAACTTATTAACTTATTAAAAAGTTTGAAGATTTTATCTTTTTCTCGCTGATTAGCACTTTACCCTACTTCAATTCATCATAAGGAACACTAGTATCTTACATTTTCACTAAAAATCTTTCTTTTCAACTCGCAATATTCATTCGCTCAAGCTAAATACAACAGAGTAAACATTGAAATGTGAAGTGAACTTGCAAACGTATCGCCCGTGCGCCCCCGCACTCGACAACTTTATACCAATACCCGGCTTTTGGTTCCATAGTAATTGCTATATAAACATTTCGTAGTTATATTTAATTATAGAACATTTTGTCACAAGTTAGAAAGAGAGCGATCGTCTTTTCGAAAGCCCGGTAAAAAGCCCACGCGTGCGAGAGAGGACTAATCGCTCAATTCAACTCCTTTTATAAGACAGCAGTATCGCTATGGCTATGAGGTGACCTGTGTACAACAAAGGAGCGCGCGGGAAATTTGAAATAGTTTGATTGAGCTGTTTGATAGGGCAAGCCCGGTTTTTCGGATTCTATGGAGGCTTCGCCACTGTCATAATATTAATAAATGATAATGAGTATTATAATATCCAAAATCATTTTATTTCCATTTTTGTGACAACCCCTAGTATACACGCTGGCCGCGTCAATACCTACTCGAGCGGCGTCATCGCCTGACATCAAACGCCTATCACAACTGCAAGGTCTTTAAATTGTGATACTACATAATTGCATTATGACTCTCGAGTGTTACGTGACGTTACATTATGTTGTCGAGTTATCATTCATCTATTCATACGTTCATCCACTACAGCCTATAAATGTCCATTGCTAAACATATGCCTCCCCCACAGAAGAAATGAAATCCCAACATTTTGCCTTAGTTGCCACACTTGGCAACCGCAGTTTGCCTTTGCCATTATTTTGAATTGTTATTGGGAAGATGCTGTCTCATGTTCCAATTTCCCTCGGTCGCATGTTTAGACACTCACGGGATGATATGGGGTAGTGGGTATTCTTACACCACCGCTACACTGTCATATACGGATAAATATCACTTTTTTTAATTTAATGTTTATTGTTAGGGCTGCCGCCGTCGAGACGCGCAGTTTGTGTGCGCCGGGTGCGCCAACCAGTGGTACTGCAGCCGCGACTGTCAGGTATGTTACACGTGGCAACCCTAATAATGTTTGACTTATTTCGACCAAACGAAAATTTGACAGTTAGTTGGACTGTACGTATATGAACTTTTTCTTTAATTTACAAATTACAGATGGTGGAACACCGTTTCTGCCTAATGGCTAAATTCTCAAACGCCACTCAATTTTATGACGTCGTTAAGTATCGTTATGTCACAGTCACTTTGACTTAAAATGATAGAGATCAGCACGAGAGATAATTATTTAAAATTAATTACTTAAAAATGAGCGTTTCAGAATTTAGGCATAAGAGTACATCTAGTTTATATACCACTCTCGTACTTATTTCGTTCGCTAAACATCAGTAGTTACCTTATATGTTACATACATAACATACATAAACACTCACGCCAGTCATCCAGAGGGGTAGGCAGAGACTACGAACTTCTATTCGGCACGATTCTGACAAACCTCTCTCGCCTCCTTTACATCCATATACATGCCCGTTGGTTAAGGGAACTCCTAATCTGTCCCATTTTCAATATAACGTCAATTTCGATAAACTTTCGTCTAAGGCGTCCCTTCCCGACTCTGTCGTTCACATCTGCAATATAGATTTGCTTTGTTACTCTTTCCTCGTTCATTCTTTGTACATGTTCAAGCCACCGAAGCATTCTTTTCTTAATCCTGGTCACAACACCATCTTGCATACCACACTTTTCTTTTATCACACAATTTCTCACCCTGTCATTCGGATTATGCCTAACATACTCCTTAAAGACCGCATTTCTACAGCATTTATTCTACTCTCGTGCACTTTTTGCCATACCTAACTTTCACTACCATTTATTAAAGTAGGGACTAATACAACATTATGAATGGCCATACGTGCGCCGTTTTTGACACATTCTGATATTCCACAATAGAGTGTAGTTCAATTTTATAATATGTTAATGTAAAAGCAAAAAATTGTTAAATATCAGTACCATAGACTTTGTTCCTGTACACCTGTTACACCCTATTTTTTTCCAGACGGTAAAAAAAATCACCCAGTATATGTCACTGTGATTGAAATCGGTTGGAACATTTTCTTCTTATATATGTTTTATTTGAAAATAAATTAAAGTTATTGTGTTATAAAGTAGTATTATAAACCAACCTGAATAATAATAACTCTATTTCAGGTGGCCGCATGGGACGAACACTCCGAAATGTGTTCCGGCTGATTCTTAACAATTAAATGTGTGGAATGAAAAATATTAAAGAACTATCAAAGCGATATAGATTACAAATACAATGTGGCGTGTCTCTACGTAAATATTATATCTTTTGCCTTACACCAACTAATTTATTAGGAACCTCTTATTTGTATGTTAATTGAATAAAAGGTGAATCTCTATTCTGGTCACTCTGTTTGTTTTGCTAGAATGTGCAATTTAACGGGCTGGAATCTAGGATCTGGTTGCGAAAGGACCAATCGTGAGCGTTTTAACTATTGCACTTGTTGATAGAAACATTGGGATCATCATCATCATTACAACCCTTTACAAGTCCACTGCTGAATAAAGGCCTCCCCCAAGGTATACCACAAAGCACGGTCCAGAGCCACCTGCATCCATCGACTTCCTGCATGTCTTACCAGGTCGTCACTCCATCTAGTGGGGGGTCGCCCTACACTTCGTCTACCGGTACGAGGCTGCCACTCGAAAACCTTTTTTCAATATTGGGATCGCTACACAAAAATATTAGCGTATAATAAAGCCGTGATTAAAACAATTTTTTTAAACATTCTGCGTCTTTGAAATTAAACTAAGGCTTATTAAGTGGTTAAATGAAAGATTGCGCTATAATTGGTGGCTAACTAAATTACGAAATTTTGTCTGCAGAACAATTCATATTGTATTAATAACAAATTCTGATAACCCTCACACCGAAACCACATGGTTTTTGTTACATGTTGTATATGACTAAACCGTATTCAACATCATTTTTTTTAAAACCTTTCATTTATTTACTTCCTAATTAATTTACTAATAGTTTAAGATTCGAACATTAGCAGCCCACTAAATTCTAGGTAACAGCCCGTTGTTGTTTTGAAAAAAAAAATCACATGTCCTTAAATGTTCAACATGTAAACTTTGCTTTCGTTTGCTATCATAAAGGTATAGTAATTATTATCAAATTATAAGTATATGTTATTCTGGGATGAAACACTTTATTAATCAGTAAACACGAACCACGTAATATGTATTGGATCGACTTTCACTTTGAGATCGGTGTTCTTATAGTTTATTTTCAGTATTTAAAAGATTCATATCAAATATTTTACGTGCTTCTTAACTTATGATGCTTTCAATCTCACCACCTCTTAAGAAATATTTGATGAATAAATGAGGCATATAAACATAAAAATTCATAAAGCTATTTTAATTGCTTACACTCAGATGAAGTAAAAAGGTAGATATCGCATTAGAATAAGAAACTGTCACGAGTTTTATAACTTTGAGTAAGTGAGAGTAGTGTTGCCACTTTTTTTTAAAGTCCCTGATAATTGAGATGAAATACTACGAATATAATACAGGAAGAAAATATAATCCCTTTTATTTGAAATTGGTTAAAAATATCCTTTTTGGATATCCTGTTCTGTAAACTCGGCGAAGTCCACGTTTTGTATCGTACAAAACTTCTCAAAATGATCTGAATAATCCACACTAGAGAGAGAGAGGATGGTTGCCATTGTGGTTTTGCCTTCATTTTGGCTGTCATATAGCAGCTACCCGTTCATCTCTTATTAAATATTCGTTGGAAACCTAAAACTATAAATCGTATTTGATAGTAAAATAGTTTTTAAGTATGTATTCAAGAATAGAAACAAAAACTTCGAATAAAAACATATATACAATATGTAACGTAATTAACGCATACCCTCAGACACCCCAATTAGTATATTATGTTATAATCATAATACATACACTGAATTTTTAGTTAAACATTTTTATGCACTGATTATTTATCAAATTAGTTATACTAATTCCGGAAGAATGTTGTGGTCACAGTACAAATCGACGAACGCAAAGACTTTAACGTGCTTGAAATAAAGTTCATTTTTCTTTATTTTTATTGAATGGCAGAATTAGTAATAATACAAATAAAACTGCACTCACTGACTGAACACACTGCACAAGTCTTATTGCCTTAAGTTATGGTCCATTTCAGTTTGTTTTGACTGTACAGATATAGTGTGACTGTAATTTACGGGATAAAAATTACCTGTATTAAAAATTATAGGAATCGATTCAGTAAACGATTCTGAACAAACTACTTTCTCAAAGTGCGTTAATTATGTTACATGTTATATATATATATATATATATATATATATATATATATATATATATATGTGTGTGTGTGTGTGTGTGTGATATATAATTTAAATCATGATTATATTTCTGTGACTTTACCTACTATTAGATATAAGAAATACTGGCAACACTCTCCCGTTAAGTCATCTCGAGACGTTGACATTGTGTTTCGAAAAACCTTAAAATTGTTCTGGAATGGCAAAAAAGACATCATATTTAACTATGTGCTCAACGTTTGTAACGATATTCCTTTAGACTTTGTTCAATTAAGTGTTGTTCTTGCACCATTTAATTACGCAGGACGGTATTTTATGGGCAAATTTACCGCATGACGCCTGGGAGGGTACTGATGAAAATGAGCGTAGTTTGATTCATGTGTATGCGTGAACACATGTGTTTACTTAAAGTAGCTAAGTTTTTTGGCATCACTAGTAACAAAGGCCGCGCTTTATCTACCTTTTTTATTTCATCTGAGCGTTAACAATGCGTTAATCTCCAATATTCGCAAAGGGGAAAAATCTAGATTCAAAAAGTAGTAGTAGTTCTTGATTTCAAAACTTTTCTACATTCATCGGTGGCGATTTGTGCTTAGGTGGTGGGCAAAATGGGGAAAATCTTTGAATTTAAATCAAACTTTGTTAATATAGAATGTCAAACGTCTATTCTATTATTTTTATTCTTTATTTCAATGGATACGCATTAATTTCGGTAGCAGATAAAACAGTTATAACTTTTTAGTAGTAAATGAAAGCATATTTTATTTTAAAGATGATAAAACTTAAATATATAAATACATGGTGCCGGATGTTATGGGTTTTTGTTTGATCTCCATTTTATGCTACGCCCACGTAAAACTGATGGTTGTGCGTATTTTTAAATAACATAATATGCCTATTTTCGTTTATAAATGAGCATTTACCCATAAATACTAGCCAAACATTTGCTTTTTATATGCCTATAACTTGGATGCATTATTATATCTTGTTATCTTATATCGGTATTTTAAACTAATATTTACGTGCTATGCTTAAAGTTTGGTATTACATTTTGTTATGAAACAAATCACCTCGCACCTTGGACTCTTACAGTAAACTTTTGCAACGCAGATATTTTTCAGTTTAATTTGAAATCGGTATTCTTATGGTTCGCTATTTTTAAAGAGTTGTGAAATGAATATTAAGTTTTAAATACAGTTCATTTGTCATCAAACTATATATTATAATATTTTAAGTATAAATAACTAGTTGAGTATTTGGAAATCTTATAGGTATACAGAAAGACTGGTTTTTGAAAAATCAACCAGCAATTTTACATACTTTTAAAGAAAAAGGCTTAAACCATCCTAATGTAAGTTGTACAATATACACGTCGGTTGTTTTATAAAATATACATTTCGATACACTTTTTTCTTATGTTGTGTCTATAAAAGGGGTATTGGTATTAGAGACGTTTAATCTTTGTTGATTGGTCTATAGTTTCAATTATTTAGTAATTTTTTGAAAGTATTTCTAGTGCTGACTAATTTGTAATAGTTCATTTCTTTAATGGCAAAAGGTATGTTTACCATATTTAGCAAGCAAGATGTTAAACAATTAACATTTTTGTTATTTTATGAGAGGGTATATCTGTAAGGTAGTTCTGAATTATGTTGTCGCATTTGTTTAAAATGAATTTAAAAATCTCGTTGTAAAGCATTTTATTTTATATAAAGGCCATTGTTCATGCTTCTAATGTAAAACTAAGGTGACATTCTTTAGAATTCTTTCAATATATATGAGAAATTTTTCAATAAAATATACTTAATTACATTAGATGCTATGTAGCTGCTTAATTTATTTTGAGTTTCCTTATTTAGCTAGTTGTTTAAATAAATTCCATAGTTGTCGCTGAAAAGTGTAACGGACATTTATAAGTCCAAATGGCAATATCTTATTACTGATAATTTGATATTAATGCTTTAATATTAGTGTTACTATATTTATATAATACGAAAATGTAATTCTAATACAAATATATCACTTCTAGGCCCGTATTATTGACACAAAGTTAAAAAAAAACTAATGTTTATAACAGCGTGGTATTTGCGGTCTAGGTCGTTTCTTGATTGATCGGAACAAGATTAAATAACATACTGCCTACGCCTACGTCGATTTTTTAAGCAATAAAGACGTTCAATTCTTGTCATGACGTGACTGAAATACAATGCTAATATAAGTTTGTGTCGTATTGTCATTTTTTGTACGGCATCTGTCGAATGATATCTTGCTGTATTAAATAATTGGAATGTGAAGTCCCTCGCACAATTGATAACTCGCAATATTATTATTATTATATGCTTTTGATGCCTTTAATAATAAAACAAATCGTGGCAAATTATTTACTTAACGACGGTATTGATACAAATAATAAAGTGTGGCATGCCGTGCCAAAAAATTGAACCAATCAAGATATATTAGGTATGTACTTGGAAAATATCGGTAACGTGGACGTCAAGGGAAAGGCAACGGATATTAAATCGTTCCAATACTGTCTAATCAAGAAATGACCGTAATTCAGAACTGCGCGTGCCTGAACTTGTGTAAAAAGCTTGTGATGTATGTAAGTTAACATAGTACATCCGTAAATTTATAATTATTTGAAAAATCAAAATAGCATTAATGTAAAAATAACACCTGACCTAACAATGTAAAAAGTCAGTGGACGGTGGAACAAGATCAGATTATTTTTTGTAATTATAAACTCAGTATATTTACTCAGCCACGTTAACATATTTATTTATTTTGTATAAATTGGAAAGTTATTGCAGATGAAACTTAACGGAAGGAATTAATTTTACGTGAATCCATTTAGAGGTCATAAGAGTTATTCTGCAGCTGTATTAGTGGTATAGTTGTAGCACAAATGAGTCGACTTGACCGGGAAAGGACCACGCTCGCACAGTTGTTTCGTATGGTGAGTGTAGGGAATCATCAATCAAAGATCTTATATTCCAAATAAAAAATTACTCAAATAAGAAAAAAAAACATAAAAGCGTGATCAAAAACTACAGATTAAAACTAATTAAGTTCAAGTGAGAGTTCTGTCTGAGCGTGCAGACGGACAGGGCTTACGTCGTTCATAGCAACACCCGCTCCTTGTATTATAGTGAAAAGGGATAGGAGTCCAGGGACTCCCTGCAGTACCCTTTGCTTAAGGCCCGTCACGTATATACGTTCATTTTGTTATATATGTCTAGATTTTATAGAGAGTAAGCATTAGTCACGCGCAAAACAGTGATGTAATATAACATTACATTTCGTACCGAGGAATGTTGCATTACACCATGACTCCAAACATGACGCGAAATGACGTGCTAGTGCCACACGCGATGGCCATTGTTGTGAAATGTTCGCGTGGTAGTAGAATATATTAGTAGTAGTAATCGTTTCAATGAGATACCGCGTTATATTATCATGGTGTGACATGAGAATCGTCAAACGAAATGCGCCCTCGCTACGCCAGAATGTACCTACACTTTCTTATGCTATACATAAAGTCAATTTTCCTTCATACTTAACGCCAATCTACGGAATCATTTAAATCAAAAGGGGCATTCCAGGCTTAGGACTGGCAATAAACGTGGATTGCAATATTGATTATTGACCAAGTCTATGAATATTGGCGTATTTAAAAATCGATTTCATATATACAATAATTGTCTTTTTTTTGTTACTGTTTTGTTTTTATTACGTGGTATTTACATTTTAATTACAGCTAATAAATATTAATTGTGAGTTTTTATTTTTATTTTTAGACGTGTCCGTCTTTCATTTAGTGTTAGACCCGCCTTCGAACACACGCTCGCACGGTAGGGATGTAGCAGTGACGTTCAGGCGTTTTAACATATATTTGTATAATCGCGGATATACGGCTTGGCGTTCATTCCACCAAAGCAAAGGATTTTCAGTTCTTTTTATAAGCGGTTCTTGAATGTATTTATCAAACTCCGCAATGCCGGCTGCAGTTGGATTTTGGGGGACGAAAACAGCAACTTCGGCGTCAATTTCATACCAAACAGAACCAGATTCACATGTTTTAATGGTTCTTGTTATGCTTCTCCACAGATTTCCATAGTAACCTCATAAAAATTTTTTAAAAGTTCTGTCGCTTTTTTAATTATTTTCCAGTCTTCTAGCGGTAAACTTAAATCTGGACGCATTATTGCTAAAGTGGCAATAAGGGCTTCTTTGATTCTTAGCAATCTCATGAACATGTCATAGGTGGAATTCCACCTTGTAGCCATATCTTGTTTTAATTTTAATGGGGCTATTTACATTTGTTCTTCTATCTCCGTTAATTTTTTTTGCTGAATTACTTCTGTGAAAATATTCCACGATTGCTTTTACCCTGTTCACGGTTTCGGATATTTCGCGTATGCTTGATAGCACTACTAAATTGATAGTGTGAGCATAGGAAGATAATGAGCGCCAGCCACCTAGCTGAACAGCAGCCTGCATGCACATTTGCAGCATTGTCACTAACGATCACATTGACGTTCCGATGTATGTTCCATTCTAAGAATTTAGCTTGTAGAAAGCTCTTAAGATTTTCACTAGTGTGCCTCTCTCCTCTCTCCTCAAATTCAATACTCCCTATCATAACTGTGCAGAGTTTGTTTATTTCTGTGTCGATGAAATGCGCGGTGATAGCAATGTACCCGTACCGTTCACAATAGATGTCCAGGCGTCAGTTGTTATACAAATAGCTACCGCTTTTGCTATTTTCATTTTAACAGCTTCCATAACTTTATTGTATACCTTAGGAAGCAGACTTTCAGAGAGAGTCTTACGGGTCGGCAGCGTATACCCATGATTTAACATTTCTATAAATTTTCGGAACTCCACTTCTTCTACCAATCTAAGGGTGTGGTAACCTTTAGCAATCATTCTCACTAATTGCTCATCAAGCTGTTGCATTCGGTTTATTGGAAGTGGTTTTTTTCTTACTACATAGTCTGTCATGGAGGGACCTGTCTGATGAATTTGCCTATTTGGAACTCTCAATTGTTCATTAATATTTGTCTGAACTTGTGCTAAATCACTGCATGAGGGAACAGGCTCTATTGACATCTCACTGTCCACATTTATACTGGGAGCAGATGTTACTGTCTGCTACTGTTATTTGAATTCTAGGATGGATGGTTTTCATATGTCAGCTCAGGCTTCCTATTGAGCCAGAAGAAATTGCCAATATTCGGGAGCAGTAGCCACATTTCGCCTTTTTGCTGGGAACCACTTCTTCAAAGTGACTCCAAAGGGCGCTACTTTTTCTTTTCGTCGCCATAATTAAACAAGATTCTTGATTTTCACAACACTAATGTTTGTACTTACCTAATAATTATAAACTTATTTATTTACAGTTAAAAGTTATTTATTTAAATATCACCCACCACTTAATTAATTACAAAATCATACAAAATAACACAACACCCAATGTTTGTATTTGTTTCGTGTTGTTACTGTTTTGAATCGTACACATTGATAAAAGTATTCTACTATTTGCCTAAACCGTATGGCGCGCGCGGTAAGCGTAACTAGAGTGCGAGAGTCATGATTTAAAACATCACGCAGACCAGTCAGTAAGTAAAACCTTATTATGTGAACGCTACGGTTCTAAATAATATTTCACTAATGACGCACAGAACCAGCGAACACAGCGAAAATTATCAAGATATGTAACACCGAGTACCATAGACTATACTGAAAATATGTAATATGAAGTATGAACACCGAACAGTACGGCGGCGCGCGGCCTGCGCGCGTCATGTTTGAGTGTCATGTGTCATGCTTAATTTGCTCGAGTCATGTGTAATGCTACGCGGTCTAGTTATATGACGCGCAATGCAACAATCGCATTACTTACACAAGTCTAGTAAGCATCATTTAATATTAAATTACGAAATTCTTCAAGTTTCAAATTTAACTCGGAACATAAGAAAAGCTTTAAATTTCATTCTTATCAAGAGATCTATAATTTTTGTTTTCATCAAATTAGAATACAACATTGTTACCTCTAGTTGCGTGGTTGAGTAAAAACTAAACTATATTGTAATAAATAATACCGTTATTTATTTTTTACATTCACAAAATGTAACTATGATAAGTATTAAAGGCGTTCTATTTTCTACACGTACCGTGCCAAATATACACAACCACATTTTGTATCTACAACGATGAATATTTTTTGCAGGTGGCAACACAGAATGTGTGTCTGTAAAAGTGTTGCCTGATAGAAGAAATAAAATATTTTTGTAACATTCGATATGGGTTTTATGTTTTGACCTTGTGTTGTATTTTTTTACTTCTCATTTCTGCGATGAATTGTCTTTTGTTATATCCTATTAATTTATTCCTTTCGATGGTAATGTATTATTTATTTTGATATTTTTAAAGATCGATAAACCAATGTGCCCTTTAAATATGTCTAAATTTGTACTCTGAATCAACTGTAAACTGTATTTTGGCTCTGAAACGCTAGTCAAGTGTTTTGTTACCTATATAACTGTTTATGTATTTTGTAACTTATATGATGTTATATAAGAATGTAATAAATCAGTACTGTATTTGAAATGAGATTTATTTGCATTATTTCTGTAGTTACACGCCACAAACCACAAGCCGAAGTTACCAAATATAATATGGTATTTTACACCATGTAAGAAGAAATCAAAAATATATATAATTTATGATAGATTTTGTAAAAAGTAAACGAAAATTTTCAAGTTGTCATTACGATTATTGAGTTTTATTACGAATTTTATTGTAAAGGCATCATGAAAGGCGAATTCGTAAAAGCAAAAAGTACTAATCTACCAAGGATAAATAAATTAATGGTGACAATTTTTTTGCATGTAATCCCAATTTTTGTTCCTATTACCAACTTTTGTTTATACAAAAACAATACCAGGTCAGAGTGTATTTTGATAAAAAAACATAGTTCAGTAGCTATCATAGATTAGTTTATATATAATTACAATCATTAACAATCATTAGTAAGTAATAATATCTAAGTTAACGTAATTTATTACAAATTTTGACTTGCGATACCCTTCACCTCATGATGTTTTGTTTTGTATAAACGTGAAAATGATCTTAACAGAAAAATTGTCTAGTTTTTGTAGACAATGTATTCGGGTATCTTCTTGCCAATTTTAACCAAGTATTTCTTATATTTAAATCTTTGGCACTTGAATCCATAACTTTTCTTATGCTCGTTGTAGTGTTTGTGTCTATTTAATAGATTCAATACACTGTCTCATATACACAAGTAGTGGGGGGTAGCATGTCATTCGGTTGTTGCATTGAGTGCCGGAGTCAGTTGCTTTGTGGAGTGCTCCGAGGTAGGACGTGTACATGCCGACCTAATTAGTGCATGCCCATAAAGTATGACATTGACAGGTACTGTCTGTACTACTAAGAAATTCAGGACTTCATAGGCGTGATTTTACTGACAGCTGTCGCAGAGATCAAGCTATCTTTTATGAACCATAATGTAAATTACGACGCAACCATAAAGTGTAACATAGGTGGCGTCGATCTACAAATGTTAATCGATTCGGGTTGTAAAACAAATGTAATAACTGGTAAAGCATGGGAATATTTGAAAATGAATAAAGTTAGTTGTAAAAGCAAACCAAGAAACCAAATAAAATATTATTGGCATATGTCAGTAGCATACCCTTAGATGTAAAAATAAAAAAAGGAAAAAAAATTAAAACAAATGGAAAAACTGATATCCCTGCACTATTTACGTCATACAAAACGGATCCAGGAATTTATTAGGAAAAGATTCAGCAATGCGCTTAGGAGTTTTAAAAGTAGGCGTTGGCATTAAGCACGTTGATCAAGCACTAATCAAGCCGTTTCCAAAGTTTAAAGATATTTTAGTGCAGATTCATGGAAGATCATAAAGATGCAAATTAAGTTCAATTTACTTTTTGATTTTGTATTGATTCAAGAAATAAGTTCATTAATTAAATATTATTTTGGATTAAAAATGAATTTCATTTGAGTAAAAAAATTCCTTCATAAGGAAGGAATGTAGTGTTTGCGTCTATTTAATAGATTCAATACACTGTCTCATATACACAAGTAGTGGGGGGTAGCACGTCATTCGGTTGTTGCATTGAGTGCCGGAATCAGTTGCTTTGTGGAGTGCTCCGAGGTAGGACGTGTACCCAGAAATACTTGGTGTGATAGTGAGCCGGTGTTAAGTGTAGTGAATATTATTCTATAAAAGTTGTACAAGTGGCGACGAGGTAAAAGGTAAGTGTGAAAAATCTACTTTTGTTTCTAAAAACCAACCCATACTTTATGACACTTAGAATGAGCTAAATACATAGTGTGCAATAAATGTTAGTTATTTCAGAAATAGGTATAATTTAAAGTAAATTAAATGATACAGTTATTTATAAAGAACTATTTCAATATTCTTTTACAAAAAGAAAAGAGGACTTCCGGGCTTGACAACTTTTAAATCATATATTGCAGAGTTACGGAGAACTAAATAAAAGATCGAAAAAGGTAGACTCCATTGACACCGATTTAAAAAGTGCTGATAGCGTGAAAATACGAAGTGAAAATGATTTGTTACTGTGTTCTTATGGTTTAAAAACATTACAGGATCCTATGGAAATAAAGGTGATGCAAAATATCCAGTTTTGAGGTGAATACAGAAAATCAAAAACAGAATGGAAAAATAAATTTAAAATAGTGTAAAATTATATGTATGTACGTAGCATAACACTACAATATTCATTAAAGTATAAATTTTAGCTTCTTTAAGATTAAAATGGATAGATTTATTACATATATATACATATATATATATATAAATTGCAACAAAAAACTATTTCATTTGTTTCTGATTACATATCACATTTTTAGTCTGTGAATTTAAATACCCGGGTACTAAAATTATAGTAAACGTTAATGCAATTACCACACTCATATCGTTCGTTTCGTTTCGCAATAAAAGTTAGATATTGATTTCCATTAAATTGAAAATATTGATTTCCATTAAATTGGAGATATTGATTTCCGTTAAATTGGAGATATTGATTTCCATTAAATTGGAGATATTGATTTCCATTAAATTGGAGATATTGGTTTCCATTAAATTATATATATTGATTTCCATTAAATTGGAGATATTGATTTCCATTAAATTGGAGATATTGATTTCCATTAAATTGGAGATATCGATTTCCATTAAATTGGAGATATAGATTTCTATTTAACTGAAGATAGGGTGTTTAAGTGGCAATTATTTTCAGGTATCCACCGACTCGGGATGTCTAATTTGTTACCGTCACCGGAAAAACAAGAGCTAGATGGAGACAACGTCAGTAGGCTTACGATGGGAGAAATGGAAAAGATCCTTAAGAATTTATCTCGAAGCAGCCGATATACAATTTCCAAATAAAAGAAAGAGCAACATTGCTACTGTTAGGTGGAACCGGGCTTCAGGATATATTTTACAACTTGCCAGACACTAGCGCAGTACAGGAAGGAGTAGATAGTTTTGAGCTGGCCATAAAAAGCTCGATAACTATTTCCTCTCTAAACAAAGTAAGACTTATGAAAGACATATTTTTCGTTTAATTAAACAAGAAGATGGTGAACATTTTGAAAAATTTCTTTTGAAATTGAGAGATCAAGCTAAAAAATGCAAATTTGACACATCACATTATCGATCAAATAATAGAAAGATGTACATCTGTAGAGCTCAGTAAAAAGATCTTAACAATGGGGGATGCAGTGACATTAGACAAGGTGGTCATAGAAGCAAAGACATTAGAGGTAGTAAACTATCAACTAGAAAGCTATGAACGGAAAGAAAAGGCCAGCGAGATAAATTCAGTCATAAGTAAGAGTAGAGATACTTCGAAGTGGGGAAAAACTGAAATGAGATCAGTAAATTTTAAGTGTGGGAGATGCGGAAAAGCAATGCACAATATTGGGGAACCAAAATGTCCAGCCAAAGAAAAAAAATATCACGGGTGTGGGAAGAAGGGACGCTATCAAAGATGCTTTAAAACAAAGATAAAGCGATTTAAAAGGAGAATAGA